TGGTTCTACATTTGGGTTAGAGTTTGGGTTTTTTGGTTAGGTTGTGGGTTGGGATTTTGATTTTTAGTTTCGGCTTCAGGCTTGATTTTGGGTCTGCTTTTAGGCTAGGTTGTGGGTTGGGTTTTGTTTTTCTTTGTTTGGGACTAGTGCGTGGCATTGGTTTTAGGATACACTCTAGGTTGGGTTTTGACTTTTGGGTTTAGAGTGTAGGTTAGTTTTGGGGTCAGGGTTTTGTGTATGGCTTTTGTGTCTGGTGTTTGGGGTTAGTTTTTGGCTTTGGGTTTTTGGTTTTGGTTTGGGTTTTGAGGTTTGGCAGATCAGGATAGGTTTTGGAGTTTGAAGCATGATTTTACTTTTAACATTAGGTATAGCAGGTTGGTGGTTGAGAGGATATTGATTGACAATGTTGGTTGAACTACAGTATGTTATAAAACAATTATCATGTAATACAAAAATACTTAAAATTTAAGCATCTCAAACTGGAAATGGCTTTTAGATTTTGCAACAAAGAAGTCCACGGAAAACAACTCAAAAAGGTTTTTAGATTTTGTAACAGATGTGAGAATATAAAATTTACATTAGATTTCCAGATCCGCCGAAAAGTCATAATGCAACTCATAGTCTACACGAAAACTCTCGGCCCGAAACATGTCCCATACACAGAAGCCAAAACCCAAACTTACCCTAAAACAAACCCCAAAGTCAGCCTAGTTCTCCAAACAAGGAAACAGAATCCCAACACATGAATAAGGTGTTTGATGACGTGTATATTCAGATATATATTGGTCTAAAGTGTCTGTGTCCTAATTTAAACTATAGTTTTAACCAAAAACAACATTAAGCACGCTAGGAAAATGTACACTTAGCATACATACTGAAGTATGATCCTAATGTGTGAAGTCATATAAGGTACAAGGCATATGTTTTTTTCCAACCTAGATCCAGACCCATCGAAGATGCATAGAAGAAGAAGCAAGAGGTCCGGGGAAGAAGAAGATGATGATGAAGATGAAAAGAAACAGAGGTCAGGGAAGAAGAAGAAAGATAGGGGAAGAAGAGAAAAAAAGGAAGAAAAGAAAAAGAAAGAGAGGTCAGGGAAGAAAAGAAGAGAACAAGTGAAAGTGGAAGAAGAGAAGAATCGAGAGGGGAGGAGAAAATCGCAGTGAAAGAAGAGTAGAAGACGTTAGCTTAGAAGCGGAAAACGACTTCATCCTAAATAACGTGGAAGTCAGAACCAGGTTAAAATGGCCTTATTTTCCATGTTGAAACAACTTGTTTTCCTTTGACTCACAGTATCCAATTTGGCCCAACAGCGAAAATTTTTTAAAAAAGATTTCCAAAAGTCATTTTCCCATTTTCCAATAGTTAATGATTAATAGAAATTCCCCAAAAAGATTCATTTAAAAGAGGGAGTCATGAAGAAGGGCGTACCTGGTACAAATTGTAGCGTGCCAGAGACTTTGTATTAAGAGGCCACGAACTTCCTATCAATAACAGTGCAAAAGATGATAACTGACAATCAACAATTTCTTGGCAAGACTTGAATTAAGAATTTCAGTTGATAGGAAGGGATTCGATGTGATGTTGAAATGAGAAAACTAAAGAAATATAGAATCCAGACAAGTAAATAGACAAGACATTGCATGTGTAAATTGTGGGTGTTATGCAGAATATGATTCAAGAATTCATGGGTGTATGCTTTTATAGGCAGGTGATAGGTTATTTAAATGTAATAATAGGCAGCATTTAACATGTTTACAAGATTTCAAATTGGGGAAATTCAAACCTCACATTTAAGTAGAGTAAATGTGGATAATATAGGTGTAATATTGCAATGATTGCAAGCATTTATTTTTAATTGAAATATGCAGATCTCGAATATTTTTGAATTTTCAATTGCAGTATGGAAAAAATTAATTGATATAAAAGAGATTTAAATTCTTAATTTTAAATTTGAAATGAAAAATTTTTAAGTCAACAATGATTGTTAAACTTCTTAATGATAATAATAACTTTTATATTTAGATTTCAATTTCAATTCAAAGGTCATAATGTTCTTCCTTAATTAGCATAGTGAGTTTTTTATATTATAGAAAATTCATATCACATTGAAGTTTTTGTCTAGTATGAGCTTTTTTTTAAGGAGACTACTAAATAAAAGAATAATTTGTTGGGCCACTGGTCAGAGATATCATCAGCAACTTCCAACTACCATCAAAGTTGAATTGTGAGTTGGTTATGGAGCGGGTGTTGGAAAAGGAGAATTGTAGGTATGACGTTGAAATAACATATTCCATATTCAATATCTATACACGTATAAATGATCACCTCACTTATTTAAACTTCTCCAAATATCATCTTGTAGGATTTTGAACTAAAATACATGAGTACTACAATGTTGATAGGGTATGGAAATATGAAGCTGATGTTCGCAGTCATATACCAATAAATTAATTCTGAAAGACTTTCATATATTTCTAACCTTATGTGTAGAATAAACATGTATTTTATGATGGGGCCGCTTGATTTATCTTTGTAGCAGTTTACTCATGTCATAATTTGCTAACTGTGTACCTTTGCAATGGTTTGGATAGAGCAACCATTATCTGCAGTCAGAAGCGAACAACGGTCACAGGCAAATAATCATATAACACAAATGGAGCAGTTTTCTTAAACATAAAGCATTTAGCTTAACTGGAACGAAATGAACGTATAAGTTTATTTGAACTCTTTTCTTCAAAGCCTTCAACACGTAAAATAGGAAGAAAAAATACTACTCCCTGCGGGTGAGGCATCAACGGAATCGTTTTACATTAGCAAATGGCTACGGGTTAAAGTTGTAAACCTTTTTCTCTCTTTTAGGGGTTCGTAAAAGTTTCCAGATTCTTAGGGTTCCATCACCTGGAGTACATGAACAGTGCAGCCAACTCGACCCTGCATCACAAACATGATTGAGTATATTAATTATGTACGATGCGCAGCTACAGAAATCTCTTGTCATATTAATTTTGTGATAATGAGAAGAGTAATAGTTCAACCTGCAGGATATAAAAAATTCAAGATGCATGTCGTGTAAGCTTTGGCATTCTCACCATTGATGTGAAGACATTGTGTTGTTGAGCAGGTGGAGTTGGAAAAACAAATAGTAGTAGATGATGTCTCTCATATATAGAGAAGATTATAATTTCCCTGTAAAGTCTAGGAAAAACAATAGTATTGATGTCAGCTTTCAGAGTGATATGTATTAATTCTTTTCTTCTTATAACTTCTTAAACTACTTCAACGGCATTACATTAAATAATAGAAGTAGGCGATTATTAAACTTGTTACAAACCTGTAATGTGGTAGCCTTGAGAAGTAGACGCCTGTGAGACTTGTATCTGTGAACATTGCAAGTCACAAGAAATTCTATATCTTTCATATACTCAACTTTATCTAATGAATGCAAAACTGTAAGATCCCTTTTCATATGTAACATGAAACAGGCTGCTAAAATATGTAACCCTTTTATTCCTTGATAGAGTAAACTTTCAGAGTTTTAAGTGAAGAAATAAATATGTAACATCAACTACCATTCAAAATGCTGATGGTATACACCAAACAAAAAATAATACCATCCAAATACAGAAAGTTTAATTGGAAATAATGGTAAAAGGAAAAAGTACTCAGTACTCTCAACATAGTCTTTAAAAAATGTTGAAAACTATTATAAGAATAAATATAGAAAACACATAATTCTATTTTTTTTGGTTTTTTCGCTGAATTCTCTGGGGCTGTTTCTTCTTTAGCATGCACAATGTCATCATGCTCTGCATCATTCTCATCAAATCTCAGCCGTTTCCGTGTTAGTCCTTCACCACTTCTTTCCCTTTTGTTTTCGGCACTCATAATGCGCTCAGGCAATACAATATCTTCACACAACCCGTTCACTGTGAAATTCCTCCTATTTGGCCCTTCAAACTTTTTGTTGTCAACCCTCAATTCACAAGCAAATGTGATACGATTTATCTTCGTTTGAATTTCGCTAATGTCTATTGCTCCTGAGCGGTGAACGGTGTTGGAAATAGATAACAACCTCTTGAAATCTTCATCGAACATTGTTGCCTCTATTTCACCAGTCTCATCACTCAATTGGACTTGGATTTTGATCCTGCATGGTATGTAGATATTTTTATCCAAAATTAAATATACTACATACTTCATGTTATGAACAAATATATTGGTCTTAAAGTAACCTTTTCTCACTCCTGGCAGACAAATTCCCACAGTCCAAACATGTGAAAGTAACTCCTTCTGGTGCTGTGGTTTTCCGATTGCAATAATCACATCCAATATAGTAGCTGCCCTCATTGTCAAGGATTTTGATATCAGCTGTAACCCATACCCCTTTGCCCTAAACGTAAGGTTAAACATAGTAGTTGTATGTTACTCGATAGACAATTGTAAGGATTTTATTACAGTCATTTCATTTGAATGGGTGATCCGTACCGGAGAAATTGATTTAGAAATGTCGCCAATTTTGACCTTCGCACGTCCAGGCGGGTAAGCAAGTGCTATCAGGGAATTTTTATATGTCTTTGTTTCAATGTAGTTGTTTATAAGCTTCAAGCTTTCATCCATCCTAGTAGTGCATTTTATACAACATAAATTGACAATATAGTATTACCATTGTTTCAACTGCTCACACGTGGGATCTGAAGGATTAGCTTCAAATGCGGAATCATATCTTGTGGAGAGTGAGACACCTGTTACATGTGCATGTTTCCTCAATACTTACTACGATCTGCTTTGTGTGGTTATGAAGTTATGTTTTGGATAAATAAACATTACCATTGAAGGGAGTAACGATCACTCTTTTACCCAAAATTATGGGGTGTCTCCCACTCTCTAAAAGGGATGTTATATCTCGGCCTTGATTGATTGCGAAATCTTCCCAAAGAGTCAACAGAACTGGTTTCATTCTTTTTAAGATAAAAGTCAAAATGTTAGATATACACAATGTTAAGTAATTAGAATAACTATGTCATACTTGCTCTTCGTTCACAAGCATGAAATCAGGTGCAGTTTTGACATCTCCACGAACAGAGATATACTCTTTGGGCATTCTCTGAATGACAATGGCCATGAAATCTGAATGCAGCAAACATGTAAAAATTTTAGATATCACATCATTATGCTTTTCCATATTATGTTAATGAAAATTAATATAATTCACACACTAATTGGGGTTTTTGACCCGCATAAGTCATAGAAGTCAAAGAATGGTGTGAGGATTGTGTCTGTCTCATTCGTTGCCTGAATTTGTTCTGATTCTGGGGCTGCCTCAATCCAAGTCTTTTTACTCAACATCCAAATGTAATTATAGTGTGCGGATGGGGGTTCACTATACTTGTTAGGCATGACAGCAGCATTGCTTATGTAGTACGTGTTTTTGAGGTCGAGTATTTTATCAATTTGTTGAATGTCACCACTGTTTGCAAGAGCAAGAACCTTGGTACCCTGTATGGAAAATGTTGAATAGAACATAATTAATAAAGTAATATGTACACTTTAAGATTGATTTTTTATAAGCTTTATAAACTTACCTCCTCATCCTGCAATATAAAAGGCCTGTACTTGTTAGGGCTCGCCCTTGAGTCTTTGATGTTGCGTTTCTCCACAACTATGACCTTACATGTCCATTCCTTTATGTTGTCATTAATTCCACTGATCATTCTTGTCTCCATAACTAAAATTATTTGTGAAAAACAGTTTAAATAATTCGAATAACCTTGTAGATCATTATCATATGATACGATTTCAGATTTTTTTAAGAATAAAACTATAAAATATTCAATAATACATAATTTTTAAAGTTTTTAATTAATACAGTTTTAATAAAAAATTCCAAGGTTTTAGGATAAAAAATAATAACACAGCTAAAAAGGAAAAAGATTCTTACTTCTAAATGGATTTTAGATTGTAAAAATGTTAAAAACAAGACATAATTGAAAAGCATGTTACACCGTACCAGTGAATATAAACATTGGCAGTGGTTTTTTTCCTAGGCATTTCCTTTTTACTTTTTCACACTTGTACTATTAACTTTGATTGGACAGTAAATATTAACATCCAATTTCCAATTTCCATAACTAAAATTATTTGTGAAAAACAGTTTAAATAAACATGAAATGGAGTTCAAAGACTTAAGACTTAAGAAACAACACATAATAAACATCTGGAAACAAAGCAAATTACAACAACTATTCATGGTCTATAAGGTATAGCTATACATGTAAAAAGATCGCTTACATGCAATAATAGAAATAAAGATACAAAAACGAACAAACCTCAATCAAGTTAATTCTATCTCCCTTGGGTCCAACCCTTATCCCCATTCTTAAATTTATAATGTGCCTATTGGACGTGAATTATGTAGTGAGCAGTACCATTTCTACATTTCTTTAAATAAAAAATACAATAACATTTGTGCATATTTTGAGGAAAAGATACCCTCATATATACTGTCATACAATTAAGCATCCTGATACTTCTCAAAATTTCAATTTTGGAAAAAGAAATATCATCTCTATATGCCTCTGCCTCATTATTTTCACATCTATCTGATTAGCTTTAATCTCTTTCATTTATCATTATACTATCAAATGGTTAAAAAAATATTGTGATAAATGATAAAAAAGATTACTCTATCATGTGTAGGTAAGTTTTATTTTATTTCAAGACAAATTCCCCCATAATAACATAATAAACATATGGAAACAACGCTGCAGAATACTAAACAAAAAGACATGATATATAAAAGCATATGCTTTCAATGAATGCATTGTATTAAAATTACCTAAAGAATGCTGTTCTAAGGTCTTAGAGGTAGACGTGTACCTTTACATGTAAAATAAAATTATCGTTAAGTTGCAATAATATAAACAAAGAACAAAGCCAAGAACAAGAAAATAACTCATATAATCAGACCTAGGAGAAAACCTGGAGATGGTGCCTCGTCCCATATCCCAAAATTCAATATAAATACCCCTTTCCAAGTGATTGAAAATTAACGGCATTGCTGAAATAATTGCCCGTTGATAAATAAGGAAAGGATCCCTAAATAGAATAAGAGGAATCAGGAAAATCGTTTGTTTAAAAAACGGAAATCAGACAACCCACAATAAAAAATTGAATCCTGCAGGGAAATTACCGTTTCATTGGGATGGTTTGCTGAAGATTCGCTGGCAATTCTGGGGAAATCGGCGTTGGATTACGCGGATTTGAGGGATTACCCACAATTAAAAATTGAATCCTGCAGGGAAATTACCGTATCATTGGGATGGTTTGCTGAAGATTCGCTGGTAATTCTGGGGAAATCGGCGTTGGATTACGCGGATTTCACGGATTATGCGGATCACAGCAAGAGTCAATAATTTGGGGAGAATATCCAGGGATGAATGGATGATTATGCTGGCAGTTCCAATCGCACAAGAGGAAGAAATCCTTTGCTGAGGGAATGGGCAAGAGGAACATATTTCGAGCAAGTAACGCTTGAAATAACGGCGTAAGGATAGTTTGACCAAATAACCAATGCGTACAAGTATTTTGGATGGAACACATACATTATTTGGTACCTAACCATTGTACACATTTATAAGATATATATTCTCCACCTTTGGGTTTGGAAGCAACTTGCTATGATCCTCCAATCCAACCGACCCTCTCGTAGTATAGTACCGGTCCTCTTTCTCTGGAGAAGAAGAAGTTTGGTTGGCCAAAGCTACTAATCACATTGTCTAGTAAAGAGAAGGAAGAGGATTTCATGGCCATGAGAGGTACCAAACTTCCTCAGAGACCTAAGAAGAGGGCGAAGTTGATTCAACGAACCATTCTTTTGGTTAGTCCAAGTACATGGTTATCTGATCTGTGCCAGGAAAGGTACGAAGTGAGGGAGAAGAAGACTTCCAAGAAGAAGCCGAGGGGGTTGAAGGCCATGGGAAGCATGGAAAGTAATTCAGAATAAATTTAAAAAAAAATGTGGAAGAAGAAGAAGCTTAGGTCTAAGCTTGGGATTGGATATTGAGATGTGATTTTTGGTGGGCTATATTTTGTTGAAGTGGCAATTCAAGAGATAGGCAGATTTTGGGTGGTCTCAATTCTCTGCTGTGGGGTGTGGTGATATATATATATGTAATGTGTATGAAGATGGTTGAGGAGGGACTATTGAGTCTTTTTCATTATGTTTTTGGTTTTTTGAAATTTGTTTCATTATACATATTGTATGGCTTCAATCAAAAGGATGTTTCCCTACTAATATATATATATATATATATATATATATATATATATATATATATATG